CCCTCTTTCCTGGCAGGCACATGGCTAACCCTTAGCCGTGGCATGCCTAGTCTACGGTTGAGGACTCAGGTAGTTCCAGGCTCTGATGGATGTTGCTTGATTTATACGACCGTGGTTTTGGCAGATCCACTCTGAAATCTTATGAAACACACAAGAAGATTGGTTGCAGTGTTTGGTGGGAGACAGAGTTGACTGGATGTAGAATATACACAGAAGCTTTTGTGGGTAGTCCAGTAGAAGCATCTGGTAGGACAGAGGTCAGCACAGTGGTGCTCGGGTGACTTGAGTATTTTCTTCTGTGTAGGAGGGGGAGGCATTGTTGCTTCTGAGGTAATGAAGCCGGACAACCGGGCCATACAGAGTAGCTCTTCTGGAGAAAACACTATGTACTCTGTTTACTAAACAACTCTGTTTATAAAGAGACAGCTACCTTTATAAGAAAATGTAAGTGTAGCCATGCATGGTGGCACACAACTTTAATACTAGGACTGTAGAGGTGGGGGCTGGGGCAGAGGCAGAGGCAGAGGCAGGGGCGGGTGGATCTCTGTGAATTGAGGCCAACCTAGTCTACATAGAGAGTTCCAGCAGGCCAAAGATGCATAGCATAGTGAGACTCTTGTCTCACATGAACAAACATACTGCCCCCAGAAGTAATGATAGCATTGGCGCATGGCTTGCTTTGATGTCCTTAATAATTTACAGAACAGCTCTTGCTGTTTCCTCCTCAACCCTGTTCCCTGTAGGTGGAAGAAGAAATCCAGACTCTGTCCCAAGTGTTGGCCGCAAAAGAGAAGCATCTCGCGGAGATCAAGCGGAAACTTGGGATCAGCTCGCTTCAGGAATTCAAGCAGAATATTGCCAAAGGGTGGCAAGATGTGACAGCAACCAACGCGTATGTTCCCTGGGTTGTCAACATTTCCAGACATCGTAAAGGGCTCCTTTGTTCCTTTTCTTTGGGGAGAGGAAGAGGAGGGCAGTGAGGATTTTTCCATGGTTTTTCTTTGGATCACACAGCCTTTTCTTTCCAGTTTTTTCAGAGCACCTGACTCTTTTCTAACTTTAGTTTTCTAGAACATTTTAAGGAATAAAATCTCATGTGCAGGTTGAGGGAACCATATTCAAGTTTCAAAAATGTTGGATAGTAGTTTTCCCTTCTTGTGTTGGTGTCTTCTCCTTCTTTTCTTCTTCCTCATCTTCCTCTTTCTTCTTCTTCTCTTCATTCTCCTTCTCCTCTTCCTTCTTATTCTCCTCCATCTTCTTACTGAGGTTTTTAGTTCCACAGAGTCAGAAAATATTAAATGGAAAATTTTCGATATAAAATGAATAAGTTTTAAATTATATGCAGTTTTGTGTAACATGACTAAGTCTCCTGCCATCTTGTTGTGTATCAATTGGGACATGATTCATCTCTTCCCAGTGTATCCATGGTGTATACTCCACCTGTCTTAGGGTTTCCATCACTGTGAAGACACCGTGACCACAGCAACTCTTATAAAGGACAACATTTAATCGGGGCCCGCTTGCAGTTTCAGAGGTTCAGTCCATTGCCATCATGGCGGGAAGGATGGTAGTGTGCATGCAGGTAGATATAGTGCTGGAGAAAGAGCTGAGAGTTGTACATCTTGATCCGCAGGCCACACAAGTGAAAATGACCCTAGGCCTGGTTTGAGCATCCGAGACCTTAAAGCTCAACCCTAGTTCCTCCAACGAGACCACACCTCCTATCAGTGCCACTCCCTACTGCAAGGCATTTAAGCACATGAGCCTGTGGAGGCTGTTCCTACTTAAACCATGGTATCACCAGGCCCTGAGTTACTTAGTGGTCATGTAAGAGAAGACATGGTATTGGTTGGACTCAGTGTGAGCTGTGACTGTTGGCATCCACTGGTGATCAGTTCTATCAGTATCAGTATAGGGAGGGGCCTATGGTGGTTTTTCCAGTCTGCAGACACTGTTATTAGTTCTCATCATAATCCAGCAGATTGGGTGATGAGATAACCCCAAATAAGGAATAGGCTCAGGTAAGGGACATCTGGAGGTTACAATCACTCAGAGTGGTGGGATCAGGATTTGAATTTGGCTCTGGACATCTGTGGAGATGGTCATTTTTTCCTCTGTTCTAATAGCCCAAGGTTATCCACCACAGTGTCTCATATGTGCACAGCCCAGTCCCCTAGTTTTCTGCTTTTGTTATCACAGGTTATGATCCAGCATCATGACTGTGCTGGCGGGGGAGGAGCAGGCTTCTGGCAGTGGGTCTGTCTTTTGTATTTGATCCTAGCTTGTGAGTTTGGCAAAGTTAGAAGACAACAGTTGCAGTGAGGCCCCCTGTGTCCCACTTGACAGTACTCGAGGGGACCCTGACCACTTCTTCTTCCTCCTTTGTCCTTGTACTGGGGTTCAAACCTGTGGCCTTGCTCATCTAGGCAATGCTCTTTCACTGAGCTGTGTCCCTAGTACAAGCCTTCCTCTTCTCTCATGTTAGTTGCCGAGGAGAACATATAAAGAATTAATCTTTGACCATGCTAGCCAGGAGCAAGGTTTGTTCCAAGTATTTGATCTAGATGTAGAAAGAAACAAAACAAACAAACAAACAAAAAAACAAACACAAATAAACACAACAAAAAATCTCCCCCAAACCAAAAAAATAAAAATAAATTTTTTAAAAATAGCAAAAATAATGCCCCAGCAGTAATTTCTGCAGTGGAGAGGGTTGACCCTTTTGATAGACTCCATGTTTCTATTTGGTTGGTATGAAGTGGAGTGATCATTTCTATTTTACTGCTACAGTAAATGTTATACTGTAATAGTCTTGTGTATTGGTATCTTATACGTACGTTGAAAGTCAGTCAACTTCCTATGTGGTAGCTCCAGCAAACTAAATTATGCTCATAACATTTGTTTGGATACTACAGTATGCATGAGCTATCCTTTTGCTCCCGACCACTTCCTGTGGGTAACACTGTAAACATCTGTGGAATCGGATTCACACTGTAAACATCTGTGGAATCGGATTCACACTGTAAACCATCTGTGGAATCGGATTCACACTGTAAACATCTGTGGAATCGGATTCACACTGTAAACCATCTGTGGAATCTGATTCACACTGTAAACATCTGTGGAATCGGATTCACACTGTAAACATCTGTGCTTTGTTTGGCTGATGTTGAGAAGCGGGAGAGAAAGGTGAGATTTCAAACTCTGGATCATGTTTAGTTTTGTTTCATGATTGGTTTTTAGCCTGGTGACCCTAAAATACAGCTCTTCTCTACAGGGAAAGAAAAGATAGTTTATTCTTGAGCCAAGCGTAAGCCACTGTGGCCTGGAAACAGAGACTCAGGCTGTCCCGAAAGATGTGTTCTAATATAGAAGAGATCTCACACGGTTTCCCTGGTCTCAGAATGCGCCAGCGTTTTCTGTCTCTAGTCACAAGTTCAGTCCTGTGTCTTTATAGAATCTAATGGTGTCTGTATGTCTGCACAAGTGTGCAGGAGGAGAACAGCTTCAGTACAGTTCCTCAGGGGCCAGTTATCTGCAGTTTTGTTTGTTTGGCTTGCTCTTTATTTTTTAAGGTAGGGCCTCTCTGTCTAGCCTGGAGCTCATCTAGTAGGCTGTAGTGTCTGGTCAGTGAACCCAGGACCCTTTGTCCGTCTCTCCCAATGCTTGGATTACAGGCCAGAACTCCCATGCCCAGCTCTCCTCACGTGGGTCCTAGGAACTCACACTCAGTCCGTGGGCTTGGAAGGCAAGTACTTTATTGACCAAATGCTTGCCCAGGCCCTGGCCTTACTGGGTTTTTAATATATGTGCAGCTTTTCTTTTTTGTGGGGAGGGGACACTTGAGGTTTGCCAGCCCCACCCTAACTACTCGGTCCATTCCTTTCTCTACCTCTATCACCAGAACATGATGGCGGGACGGTCGCTGCCCTGATGGTTATAGAGAATGTTAGAAGTTCTTAAAACTGTTCTGTTCTTGAGTTCTTCCACAGGTGATGACCATTGTACCAGGAAGAATTTACAGAAAAGCCTAGCTGACATTTCTTCCCCCTGTTCTTGATTTATAATTGACTATAGATACAAGAAGACATCCGAAACTCTGTCACAAGCTGGGCAGAAGGCCTCCGCTGCATTTTCATCGGTTGGCTCAGTCATCACCAAAAAGCTGGAAGACGTGAAGTATGTGTGCCTTTTCCCTTGCTCACTGAGTCCTGTGGCAAACTGAGCTGCACACTGATTGCTGTCCCTCCCTGCCTTTGAGTCTGGGTGCTGCTGGGTTCTCCATTAGAGAAAGGGAGGGTTCTCCTTTAAACCAAGGCCTGAAATGCTTGCCTGAATTCCTCAAGACCTAGTAGTCTAACCCCCAAAATGAGCATCTTCTGAGTCCCTTTAAGGGCTGCTGAAAAATTCTGGTTGCAAACTGTTGCATCTTAGTCCTTCTTGATCCTGCATACAAGTATGTCTGTGGTGTTTGCAGATGTGTGCTTGCGGGTGGACAGAACCAGGTGCCTTTCTGGGAATGAGTACGAGAGCATCGAAGTGCACGCTCTGACTTCACTGTCTGTGTGTGACATTTGTGTGTCATGGTGTGGCTCCAAGGTGCTTATGTGAGCACTGGTTTGTACTAACCCATAAGCTTTACCTACATTTGCGCTCAGGCTCCGGTCTTGATTTTGAGTTTCTTTTTAAAAATTGTGTGTTTGTATTTGAGATTAGTTTGCAGAATTTTTCTTGTCATTTTGGTAAAACCACTTCACGGTGCTTTTGTGCTTCCATGTACCCTTGAGTTAGAACAGTGCTGAACATAGTCAACACGGCTTGCATCAGCTGTACCTGTGTTGGTGTGCACACTTTCTGTTTGTCTTTTTCTGTGCCTAGATTGCATGAGTCTATATGCTCTATTTGTGGAGAAAAATAGGTTTTACAACCAGAATTTTGTAAGTTGAAACCGGTTCGTTCTATCAGTATTTTATACTGTGTATTAAAATCCATTTCCTCATTCATTATATTTGAGAGCTACATTGTTCTAAACTTAATATCATAAGGACACATTTTCTGAGTGGGGGACACCTACCAGGTGCTGTTCTTTTAATGTTGACTCAATCTGTAGTGTTCTAGGGGTATGTAAATCATGCAGCCTTATGAAGAGGCTTATGTAATTCTGATAGATCCATTAGAACTTCCTTTGTGTTTTAACGCTTCCTCTGGCTTCTTACAGATTGCAAGCTTTCTCACATTCATTTAGGTAAGGAGAGTTTGAACCTTGCTGCTGCTGCCTGGCAGTCGTGTGAGATGTGTGTGAGGTTAGATGTGCTGCCTCTGTGGACGCGCCTGTGTGTCCTCTGTGGGGTCTTCCTGAGCGCATCCTAATTCCCACGGAGGGTTTCGTGTATACCATGTGTAATGAAGCACTTGAAAGAAGAATTTGACACAGTGACACAAGGGATATAGAAATGACTTCTGAAGTTTCTATTATTGTTATCAATTTTACCATGGCATACAGAATTTCTCCCTTTTCATGTCTGATTTTTTGGTTCTGATGCTTTTGTAAGGATATTGGAATTCTCCTCACATGGGTCCTGTTGTGTAATTGTATTAGACTGCATGTGTACTGTCTCGTGGTATTAACTCTTCCAACTTATTAAGGTTACAGCATTCTTTCCATGTGAGATCTTGCTCACCCTGTACTTTTCAGTATTTGGTTTATCCGCATACTTTACTGTTTTATTATTTCTCCACTAACTTTTCTTTAGGCACACAAGGTATGGCTTGTCAATGGGCAAGGGATACTAAAAAGTACAAGTCATGCCTGTAGGAGCCCTGTGTGCTGAGCCCACCTCTCCTCTCTTGGCAGACTCTGGTTATATGCGTAGGTACTGGAGAAGACAAGTGGGAGATGTTTGAAGACTAAAGGGACGGGCATCTCAGTCTCCATGTCTCTTCTGAGCGGTGCACATCATCATCTTTAGGGGAATGTGTCACTGCAGCCCACTGCGCAGCTGTTACTGTTCGGTGTTTCTCCCTGTCTCCCTTTTCCAGTTGTTATTTTTAAAACATTGTAAAATTTTTATTGACTCTGTGAATTTCACATCACACATCCCAATCCCACTCAGTCCCCATGCCTCCCTATCTGCCCTCTGCCCCGTATCCTCCCCCTCCAAAACAAAACAGAAAACAACATCTCGCTGTGGAAGCTGCAGCGTGTCACAGTGTGTCACCGTGTGTTACACAGTGCACCCTTTTGTCCACACTGCTTGACTGACAATGTTCATTGTAGTGCTATACCATCAATACTAGATGCTCTCAGATCTCCTGTTGTTGACTTATGTCGTGAGATACTGCAGCTTTGGATCTGCAGGACTGGCCCCTTCACATGCTCCAGGAGTTCATAGATGGGGTACATACGGGGGGGTGGTCCAACACAAAGCCCTGGATCTTGTCTAGTAGCTGAGTTGATCAGCCTACCAGCTCTCCCTAGCCTGTGCCACCGGGGGCCAGCTCTCAGGCTTTGCCCAGAAGAGGAGTGGGGGCCACTCTGCTGTTCTCATGACCTCAGGGCAAACCTCCAGCCTGACGCATGGAGGTGTGGTAGTGTGATGGTGTGGAGGGACGTCTCTCTTATACCCAACCTTCCCCACCCCCACCAGGGCCAACTCTACTGTGCTGCCCATGTGAGGTGCAGGCCTGCTCTTTCCAGTGTGATAGCCAGTGAGGGGTGGGGCCAGCTCTGCTCGACCCTTGGACATCAACATGGTCTCAGGTGGCAGACAGACTAGGAATGTCTGAATGCCCTTTGGAGGTTCCATGGTCTATGGAGATCCACACAGACCCCTGCTGCTGCATGGCTGTGGATCTAGACGTGGTCCTCAGAAGCAGAACAGGCCAGGACTTTGCCAGCCTCGGGTGGTAGCTCGCACGAAGCTGCTTTTTAGCACCCTCATGTCTCCAGCTTCTTCGCTGCCAGTAGTCCAGCCTGGGCCCCACAAGTCCCTCCCCTGCTGTAGCGACTGTCAGGAAGGTAAAGATCTAGTACCAGTAGCCATGGCTCCTGTGAGCTAGTGATTGCCATCACAGTATCAGGCTTATAAGATGGCATTTCACAGCCTTCTCCCAGTCCTTCCATTCTTTGTGCGCCCTCTCCCACAATACTCTGTGAAGTTTCAGGGAATGTTGTCAATGCTTGTCTTTGGTGACAAATAAGCAGTGTGCATCAATCTGTAGAAATCAAGTCTTGTGATGAAAACTTAGAAACGAGAAAAAAGATTCTTCTTTAAATTTTGTAATTCTTACAGATTAGAGATTGCCTCAGGTCACTTAATCTGGTTTCAAGTTTTCCTATGTATTGGGAAAAATCACATCTTTCAGATCATGAGGGTCATCGAGACAAATTCTGGCATATTTCTCCAGGGACCACCCAAGGAGATGGGGCTGTTACTGAGCCCTGGCAGCCTGACCCCTTCTGGGGGTTAGGGTGGGGAGGTAAGAGGGCGGACCCCAGAGATCCCTTTTACCAATTACTCTGAAGAAGATGGCTAGCCCGATTAACTGTTTCTCCCGAGTCCCTCTCGTGTGGCAAACCCACACTAGTGGATTTCGGATGGAGAAAGAGATGCAGTGCTTTTGCTAATTCAAAGATTCAACATCAGCTTTTTTTTTTTTTTCCAAACATGACAAAGTTAATGAGTTAACATTTGAGATTTAGATATTCATAATAATTTGGCTAGGTTAGGGAGGAGGGATGGCAGAGGGCAATGAAGGGGAGAGAAGAGAGATAGGGTGGGAAGAAGGTACGAGAATAGGTACTTTGGATTGTTTGAAAGCTTGAAGCTAAGCACTCAGCCAGGCTGGTTTCCCTGTGGGACCAGGTCAAGGACACTGACCCACGAGATCCCTGGGGATATCGTGACCACTCCTAACAATAGTGTGTATGTTTCCACCTTTGTTTTTTTGCTGTTTTCTATTCAGGTGGCATATTTGAGTTATACTTTTCTAACGTGGAACAATCCTTTACAAGAACCTTCTCCTTTTAACCAGTGCTATATTGAAACACACGAGATGGCCTCATAGCATCCTGGGATGATTCACGGTTTCATTTCTTATGTATTTTAGAAGAATTGCTAACCCGTAACTCATTTTGTGTTTATTTCACAAGGAATTTTACTTTCTAATGAGTATTTGTGTGTACAACTCATTGATTTTTTAATTTGTTTTGGGGGTTTATTAAAGTTATTCCAGACAGTTCTTTTTTTGCTGAACACTTCCACCTTTCCTGGGAAAAGCAATCTCTTTCATTCTCTGTGGGAGGGCATCTCTGGATTAGGACTGAATCAGTGTCGTCTTTCCATACCTTGCCCGTTCACATGTCCCAGTTCTAGTTAACAAAGGTGTCCATTCATTCTGTTGTATTTGTGAAATGTTGATTATGTGTCAGACTCACTGTAGGTTGTAGGGCTAGAACTAAGAATGCTGATAGTGTGTGTGTGTGTGTGTGTGTGTGAGAGAGGGGGGGGGGAGGGGGAGGGGGGGCTGGGGGTGGGGAGAGAACACCATGTCAGTTTCTGTTTCAACCAAAGCCAGCAGTGTAGTAACAGTGGCTCAGTGGCTGGGTAAGACCACTGAGCGCTTCCCAAGTAGGTGTGCTACTGCTTTGATAATCTAGTTGGGAGGACACTGAGCTCTGGAAGGCTCGATGACGTCAAGGTCACAAAGCCAGTGTTGAGTGACTGATGGTTAGGTTTGGACCCACTGCCCTTGGTTCCAGTCTGACATCCTCCCCAGGGCAATGAGGTCGGGAGCGACTCCTGAGCCCGGGCATCACCCAGCACTTTTGCTCTTGTGTGGGTTAAGTCAGAAGAGACTGTGGGAGCAACGTGGGACTGCTTTGTCAGTGAGCTGTGTGTGCTGTTATGGACAGAAGTTAATCCCCAGACTGTGGAGAGCTCTGTGGTACTTGAATGTCTTTTAGGAAGTCTTGAGATCAAGGCCAACTGTCTCTTTCTGAAGAGCAGCTGCTGTTATTGCTGAGGAGTGTTGTGGAGTGTGTCATAACTTAGAGTCATGAAACGGGTGTTAGATTTAGAAACCAGCCTGTTCCAGCCTAGAAGCAAATACCTAGAGAAAGATGGCCACTGTGGCCCTTCGGGGGCTTGCTTATGTGTGTGTTCTTCTCCCCCCCACCCCGTGTGTGTACATGCATGTGTGTGCACACATGACACTTTTGAGGGGAGGTGATGGACACTCAGGACTCCTAAAGACCCATGTTCCAGTCTCGGTTTTCTGCTGTGACCTCTGATTACCATCTCTCTTCTGAGCCTTGCCTCTGTGTCGAGTCAGGAAAAGCACAGCTTTATAGCTCTCTCAGTTTGGGAGTGGGGCGATAAGGTCTGTCTTATTCATTCTCATAATGATTCGGATGCATTTGGCTCATGAATGGCTCAAAAAGCAAACCCTTTGGAATAACGTTGACATCTCCTTCCACCTCAAAAAGCATATTGTGTTCACAGTGCCAAGACACTGTACCGTCAGAAAGTGTGGTATGCTTCTCATGTCGAGCCACTGTATACTAACCTGTTTCTGTCTCTCTTTAACGCTGCCTCTCAGTATCCGCTCCATTCAGCATTCGATTAGCATGCCTGCTATGAGGTAAAGTATGTCTTTACAAGATGATCCCTGCCATTTCTTTGGATGTTAAACCCAAGCCACTGAGTAGAGAACAAGAATTCCACCTCCAAAATGCTGTGCATTTAACACTGTTGCAGTTTGCAGTTATTCTTTAGTGTTGGGATAGATTCATGATCCAAAATGTGAAATTCTGTTTTTTTTTTTTTTATTAAAGAATTACTATTTCAATTTCATTTTATGGAAAACACATGCCAGTGCAGAATGAAGCTTCTCTGGTGGTTCAGGGTTATTCTGGCTCTTTGCTGTCTATGTTAGCTTTGGTTACAACCCCTCACATCCCTGCTTCTACCCTCCACTCTGCCCCCGTCATCTCAGGGTGGCCTTAGAGCCAGCTCTCATCAGTGGGCCTTTGGCAGAGCCTAACGGTATAAATCCTTGGCTGGGACTCGAGTCTATGTTGGAATTACCAGAAGGGTAGATACAGTGCTGCATGCTGAACCCATCCCTGGGGTTTCTGAATCTAGAACAGGATGGGGCCTGAGAATTCATTTTCCTAGGAAGTCTTGCGAGCTGCAGGTGCAGCTGGCCTGGGTGGTGCGGGAGTATGCACATGTCAACAACCATTGGTCATGTTCCACTCAGTGCCCTTTTTACCTGTGTAACAGGGTGGGTATTTAAGGTCCCATGGATAGGAACCCATGGATAACAGACAAAAAAGCCCAAAGTGTGGAGGAAATGTTAAGTTTCTGAGCTCTCTGATCTCTTTTGGTCCTTTCCTTCTCTGACAGTGGTGGAATTGGGGTCCCGGTAAGAGACTCTCACACTGTTTGCTTGTCCCGATGGTGCCTTGGAAGATGAGTTGCTAAACTAGAGTTCTAAAGCATAGGGTCTGGGTCCAGGGGACCTCACGGTGGCATTTCCTTGCATTAACAACAGAGCTGGTCTTTCTGTACATGTCTGTATGACAGCATCACATAAGCTCAGAGTAGCCATCCTCATGTCTTGTAGACATGCTAGCTCAGAAGCTGCTCTTCCATGGGAAGTGTATATGCTGACAGCTGTGCACACATCCGGACAAGTCCCTGCCCTGTTGCTAATTATGAATAACAGCAAAGAGAAGTGTCATCAGTTAGTGCTGCTTCAGAGACCGGACTTCCTCATAGTGCTTATAACTTTACTTTTTTTTTTTCTATCTTCATAGAAACTCCCCAACATTCAAGTCGTTTGAAGAAAAAGTTGAAAACTTAAAGGCAAGTAAAGGGGTGAACGATCTCACGCACACTGCGCCTTAGGTCTCTTTGCTCAGGATTGTTGACATAGAGCTGCCGAGAATGTTAGCGTGTTCCACTGATGGACAGTGCATGGTTTGTAGGTTTTTTTTTTTTTTTGGGTCTTTATTTTTTGCTTTTGAGCACGTGTTGTAGTTTGCTGCACACAGAATGAATGACTTCAAACAACAATTCTTCAGACAGTTCCTTTATTTTAAATATTTTTATAATTGCACAAAATTTGCTCTAGCTGTTTTTTTTTTTTTTTTGGTCTAGAAAGCACACAAATGTTGAAAAGTTGGATCTTCCACACAGTCTGAGCTGTTAGGCTTTAAAACCACCCAAACATCTTCCTTTGCAATTGCGTATTGTGCTTCATTGTATATGATGTCTGTTTACATATGCCTTATATTGGCTACTATATCTTTAATTGCTGTATAATTTATTAGTTCTGTTATTACGTTGACTTCATGAATGTCATTTAGTAGTCACTGCCTTATTTTATTATTTTTAATGATATTTATTGTTCAACAATTTCACACATTATAAAATGTATCTTGATTGTCCCCAGCCCCTTTGTGCCCCATTAGAGGTGCACATCCTTTTATAATGATCAGCTTTATAAATTGCTTTATTTCCAAGATGATTACAAAATCAACTCTGAGAATTGGGGATAGTGGCTCATGCATGCAATCCCAGCACTTGGAGTCTGAGGCATGAGGATTGCCGAGAGTATGATGCTAGCCTGGGCTACAGAGTGATATCCTGTTACAAAAACACCCAAAACCAACCAACCAACCAACCAACCAACCAACCAACCAACCAACCAACCCAACCAAGCAAACAAAACCTTAGCAGCTCTTAGAATCACAAATGATTTCCAGATGACAGACCTCCTGATGGTCTGTCTATTCTACAGTATTTGTGTGTAGCCTGTATGATTATTGCTTTATCCAGTCCTGATCATTGTAGTGAGTATAGCTGGAAATGATGATGATGATTTCACATAACTGAGCCTGCTAGGCAAGATGATGAGTTCAAGACCAGCCTTGGCTACAGAGTCAGACCTTATTCAAGAAAATATGTTTTAAAACTCATATTTAGTTTAGTCTTTGAGAACATCAGAAGAGTCATATATCCTTTGGGGAGAGGGGGGAAGAGGAGTTCGAGACAGGGTTTCTCTGTGTAGCCCTGGCTGTCCTGGAACTCACTCTGTAGACCAGGCTGGCCTAGAACTCAGAAATCCACCTGCCTCTGCCTCCCAAGTGCTGGGATTAAAGGCATGCACCATCACTGCCTGGCAAGTCACTTATTCTTAAAAGTATCTTACATTACAAAGGCAGGGTGTGCTTACAGAGAGATAAAAATCCAGACCACTGGATTTTTCACATGGGCCTCTTTGTGTAAATACATGGCTGTTTTCTGAGATCACACTGCACACACAGTCTCCCAGTTTTATGTATGTGAACCCACGATTGCAGGAACCCTTCTTTTTGTTTAACAATACTGTTTAGAGGCCTCACATAACTCTCGGTATGTTTCTCAGTGTGCATATGTCACACTCATGTTTCCAGATCGGTCCACGAGACTGACTTCATTCAGAATCTCAGTGCCTAGTTGTACACCTGAAAACAAGACACAACGAAGAGTCAAGGTTACTGTGACTCAGATCTCAAGACTATCGACTCCCCTGCCTCACTTCACTGTCCTGATGTTAGTGTTGGAAATAGCTCACCAGAAATCAGGAACTGAGTTCATTTGCTTCCAGAGATGATGAAGGACTGCTCAGTCACTTGCTGTGTTAACATTCTGTAGACTATATGACTTAGCATCGTTTCGATGATGGCTTAAGTTACTGTTGTTGTTCTGGAACACCATGTCCCAAAGCAAGGGTTTATTCAGCTTACATTTTCAGATCATAGACTCTCATTGAAGGAAACCAGGAGGGGAACTCAAATATGTCAGAGGCCATAGCTTGCTCAGACTGTTTTCTCACAGAACGCAGGGCCAGCAGCCGAGGGGTGGCACCATCCACGCTGGGCTGGGCCCTCCCACCAGTCATTTATTAAGATGTCCCACCATCTTGCCTGCAGCCTAATCTTATAGAGGCACTTTGTCAATCGAGATTCCCTCCTCTCAGATGACTATAGTTTGTGTCAAGTTGACATAAAACTATCCAGCACAGAGGAAAACATAAAAAGTAACTTTACAAAGTATATTGAACTGCTATTGCTAAAGAAACTTGTTATATGCTTGGGAAAATTTTGCCAAATTATATTCACATTCACTTAAGTCTAGGGTCAGCATGTCTGTGCCCCGAGATTCTGGATGTATTTGGTGTTCTGCAGTGTTTGAGCCGTGGCTGTGACATGCAAAGCAGAGGGTGCCATGTGGACCTGGAGGAGGTTGTCACCTATTGATAGGAAGGGGAAGGCGGAGAAGGCTTCAGTAATATAATCAGAGACATGTGTAAGGCTTTATGGTCTCTTTGAGGAGTGCTAATATGGTCTTGTGGAAATGGGAATTCAGTCAACACCCTCTTCTGTACATTTTACAAGTGTCGCTGGCAGCCTTGCACAGTGAAGGAAGGGTGTGGTAGTTGAGAGGTGAGAGTTGTGATCCAGGCAGAAGAGGATAGTAGATGAGTTCAGGTACCATAATGGCAGTAAATACAGAGATATTTAGACGTTAGACCAGGATAAAGGCAAATGCTGTTGGAACCAAAGGATAATGGTTCATGTACAACTTCATGTACGTAGGTGCTGTTGCTGTACAACATTGGTTTTAACATATCTTTAAATTTAATATGATGGCACATAACATTTTAAGCACTTCTACTTAGAATTTAATGGAGCAGTGAAATGAAACAATGTAAAGATTACTGTTATGACGGAAAAGTCTCATTGGCTCTCCCGGAGAGGAAAGGTGAATGGTGAACGGAAAGGGGACCAGCTATTGGGGGTTCCCTTTTACATATGCTGCATTGCAAGGAGCTGTGACAGTTTCTTACAAAGAACACAGTTTAGTGAATTTAATAAGGATACAAGTTGTGCAAATTTATCCAACAATTAGATTAGATGGGAGGTTTTAGACTCTGCCCAGTCAGTAAAGACTGGCTAGGTAACAGGACAGTCAAGCTTGAATCCACTGAGCATGCATTCTTGGTCACAGGCTGGCTCCTGAGTGTTAGCTGTTATGTTGTTTCCTCATTACGTGCAACTGCCAGGCATATGTAGCATTCAAACAAATACTGATTGACTGAGGCCTGATATGTACCAACTTCTAGTACACACAGAGTCACTCAGGGTCCCTCTGGCACCAAGATTTCAGTTCTGACATCTTCATTGTCTGATAAACCCCCAGATGATGCTAAGTCTATAAGCTAGACTTTTATGTAGGTAAGGGCTGAAAAGCTTACAGTGCACCTAGAAAAACCCATTTATTTCCTCCATTTGTCATAGTTAGTAATATTTCTGAATGAATGTGTATGAATGAAATTGATAGACAACAAGATATTTATCAATTATCTACAGAGGTCAGTAGATACTTTGGAATAATTGTGTACAAAGTTCTTGAAGTAAATTTTCTGGTGAAGAGCAATTAGTCGATGGTGGGAGTGAGATGGGGCAGGCATTTCAGCAAGGTGGAAAGCAGGCGTTGAACTGTTCCACTGCCCTGAGCACTAGAGTACATCCATCCATATGTAATGTCCTGGGCCAGGAGAGGCCCCATGTGTCCTTGACAGTAAATTTAAAGTTCCTTTCTGCAGAGACAGTTAATGTTGTTCATGATGTCTTTTCTGTTGCACACTTTTTAAAAAGTCTAAAGTAGGAGGAGCCAAACCTGCTGGCGGTGATTTTGGAGAAGTCCTGAATTCCACAGCGAATGCTACCAATACCACAACCACGGAGCCGCCTCCAGAACAGATGACAGAGAGCCCCTGAGCTGCCGACCTGTGTCCTGCTGCCCACTGCCAGGTGCTGCAAGCGAGAGCCAAGCACATCTTGACAACGCTCATGGCTGCAGATTTCTACCAGATGTGCTTTTATTTAGCTTTACTTATTTCTTTGACCAAATAGTTTGTGAATGAAACAAAGTGAAACCACCCTCACCTCCACTCCAGGGAAATACCCAGTAGCATGCATGGAAGGCCCTTTGTATAGGAAACAGCATCATTGAACCTCTGGTATTCCCTGCAGGCAACTACTGTGTTTCTCCTTGAAATCACTGTACGTCTAGATTCGAGTTTGATCTTTCTTGGCTATCTACATGAGTCATTCTTTTTGGGTCTCCATACACTTAATCGATTTCTAACTAAAACTGTCCTTTTCTAAATTCGGGTTATTAAAAGTCTTGGAATTATTTCATTATTTTCAAAGGAGAAACTACCAGCTACATATTTTTTTCTTGGATAAACAGTTATATAAGGACCTTATCTTGGGTTTCTGAAGACACCAGACTAAGTAGACAGGTGTGTATACCTTTCAGTAGTTCTGTAAGTTGAAACCATGCAGACACTCGAGCTTCCAGTGGTGTGAGTGTGGGTCCCCGGCCCCTTTGGTAACTGTCATCTGTAGCTGCATCTATTTCAGCATATCAATTATTTATTACACCATTCTTATGCATTTTTTACAAGATTAAAATTTAATTTCAGAGAAATTGACAGAATAACATTATGAACCAAGTATATGCCATTACAGTAAGTTGGAAGGTTCCCACACTCATCATTGATAATTCCAAAAGTCTAAAAAGCCTTTAGGTCTATACAGCTATAAAAATACTAAAATAATTCACCTTAGGGGAAACTACTGCCTCCGCTAAATCCACTTAACACCCTTTAGGAAGCACAGAAAGTTCTATGAGAAATACAACTTGACTATTTTTTATACTAAGGTATTGTTGACGACTCCGAAGGCTGTAAGGCGTTAATACAAACGAGCTTCTCATGCTGTACGTGTTTTCAGTGTGTTAGTGACTGTGAACTGTACTGTAGACATTGTTCCCATGCTGAGAACTATCGGAGGGCTCGGGAAGCAAAGCTTCCAGATGGCTCTGCTAAGTTCCTCTATTAACTGTGGCTACTACTGATCCACTATGTTTCCTTTGCTGTGTGTGTTTCTGGCCTATGAGGGTGTATCTGTTCCTTAACTATTGTGGTGATTTTACCATTGTCCATGCCAAATGTTAATTGCCAAGCTTGGAGTGACCTAAAGCATTTTTCAAAAGCATGACTAGATTTAATTGAGGATAAGGTTCCTGCCAACCAGAATTGAAAAGCCACAGTGTCAGTTGTTACAAAATGCCATGCTGCCATTCCTGATTGCTACTTGGATGCAATGGAAACTCTGCTCGATTACATGTGAAAATCTTAATAAAGTCTGTGTCTCAGTAGTGTAGGTTTCAATATTTATTAAGAGGGCAGTGGTCTGGACAAAGCTTGTTGTGTTCTAAAATCAATTGATATTCTGGAAGAATTTTCCTAGAGGACTGGACTGTAGAAATTTGTCTCTAGAGATATATTGTGATTATTCAATATAATGATTTTTCTACCAATTAGTCTTTTTTTTCTTCTTTCTAATATCTTGTTAACAGATTGTTTCCGGGGTGTCTATTCTGTATTTGTAACTAGGCAAAAGCAGAGTAAGATGCCAGGTTTTTTTTTTTATAAGGAATCTTCAAGTTTTGTGAAGAGATTTCTCATATGAGGAAATGATAAAAGGGGAGGAGAGAAGGAGAAGGAATGTACAAAGATACGTTCAGGATGAGTTGGGAAGAAAATCTTCACACACTTCATCTAGAAAGCTAATCTTCCGGTAGGCACCCTGCCTCATCAAAGAAGTTACAAAACGGTAAAGGACTAACTCAGAGAATGAAATAGGAGCTTTAGAATAGTCACATATATCCAGAGTGTTTGTTGGAGATTCATTATGCGTTCACAGATGCTGAGGAACTTAACAGCTATTAACAGAAATATTGCAGAGAGGTTGGGGCCTCCTACTGCGATTTTTTTTAGGCTGGGAAAACAGCAAAGGTGAAAGCTCAGATATTTGTGAAATCTCAGCTGTTTAAGGACATAAACATAATGGAAGAGTTCTGAAGCCTTACAAAGGCAGTGCTCCCTAACTGTGGGTCTGTGGGACATTAGCAAGAATTCTTAATAGTTTAGAACCCGGGAAATGAATAAAAGAGAGAACTTATCACCTGCCTTTTGATCTCAGCCACTACACACAATTCTTGCAATACAGAAAAGATTTAATTTGAACTCTTTCTGGATCTTTTAATTAAGGTACACACTCTTTTCTGTGAAGTGTTTGAAAGCAATAAAAACTATAATTTGGGTCTGGGTTCTTTTTTATGTATTTCTCCTCTTTCAGGAAAGAGTGAGTCATCTTTGCAACTTCTCTCAAGCTCATCAGATCCTGACATGTAAAACAGCAAAGTAAAGCAACAAACTCAGCCAGCCAGCCAGCTAGCCGGCCGGCTGACTGGCAGCTGCATTGACTCATATCGGCAACAGTGGGATTACATGGTTGTTGGTGAAAGTGTGTGAGAGGAGACACAGCGTGAAGTGACTGTCAGGATCCTGAATTCTTTACATTTTCTCTTTTAAATTAAGATTTATTTCAGTATGTGTTTGTATGCAAGTGTGTTATGTGCATATGAGTGCCTGTGGAGTGCAGAGACATCAGGTTGTCACAGAGCTGGAGGTGCAGTCAGATGTGCACATTGGGAATCGAACTTGGGCATTCTGTAAGAGTAGCATTATGGTGTTTGAACTGTTGAGCCATCTCTCCAGATCCTTTTGAATAGTTCTTAAGACCGGCTGAAAGCTGGGATTTTTCCCATAGCAAAGGGACATCTGACCAGAGCTTGCTCCTCGCTTTTAGCCACTGTCCTATTCTACTTGGATTGATGATAACAAGCAGAGACACTACAAGACAGAGCCAGTTTTAAGTAAAGCAGCAGATTTTAAAAAATTGGTTGTTTTATTTACATTTCAAATGTTGGCCCCCCCTTCCCGATTTCCCCTCTGTAAACCTCTATCCAGTCCCCTCAACGCAGCAGATCTTAATCCTGAAGCTTCCCTATTCTGGTGTAGGGCGCAGGGCCCATGTGTCATCAGCACCCACCAGGGCTTCACACGCCAGTGAACTGGAGACCCAGTTCCTACCAGCTCCTGTGTGTAATTGTAATGTTGCTGAGTTTGGTTGGTAGTGTAATGATTTTAATTTGGTGGTTTTCCTATCACACAGCAGTATCTAAACAATTTAATTGTTCAAATACATTTGTGGGCAGTTATGACCTTTAAGAGTCTCAACTTCAGGACTGGGAGATGGTTCAGTGGGTAAAGTATTTATTTGCCATGTAGGTATGAAGCCCTGGATCCTCAGAGAAAGAAGGAACCCAACATCTCATGGCCTCCACATGTGCTGACATGTGCACCCTCACACACATGAACACATTAAAAAACCCTTCACTTCCACATGCTTTATTTTTCTTTATTTCTAGGATTTTGTTTTTCTTCAATAGGACTAGTTTTTAGTATTATCCCAACTCCCAAAATGCTGTCCTCAGCCATCTCTGTGACCTCTAAAATGGCTCTGTTTCTGAGGCTGAAATGAATGTCTTTAGTGTGACAATATATCTCAGCTGTGTCTCAGGACCTTTCATCCAGACTTTGCTCTTCAGTTAAGAGCTCTATTTTTCTAGTGGTGTTGGGAGTCCAATCTGGGGCTTGTTTTAGGCATGCCGAGCAAGTGCTGAGCCATGTCCCAGCCTGAGGCATACATTTCTAATCACCTCAAAGTCACCTCAACCAAGCCACTAAGAGCTACTTTCTATGAAGGTTTTAGCACACCCTTTAGCACACTGGTGGTGTGGGGGTGGGGTGGGGTGCGTGTACTGCTGTTGATGCCACACTTGGTAGATGAGGCTAGGGTCAATTGGTGCGATCAGAGGTTCGAAGTATGTTTTATTCATTTTTCTTGCTAACTGCTATTAACATTTTTACAATGGATCTTAATAACTTGAAAGGGTATTTTAATAGAACTAGTCGGAAGATGCACGGGGCAGCAGTATTACCACTACAGTGCACGCCCGTTGGTGCCTGTGGAGGCAGAAGTCCTGCAGATTTGTCTCTCTTGTTGACTCACTTGGTTTTACTTCATTTGGTTTTATTTATTTATTTGGCAGTCTCATACAGCTCAAGCTGCCTTCCATCTTGCTATGTAGCCAAGGGTGGTGACCTTGAAGCCCTGATTGTCCACTCTCCCTCCCTCTGTCAGAGACAGGGATCACATTCGTGCCCCACCACATGCTTTGGTTCTGAGATCTCATTAGCTAAGGTTGAGTCTATCCCCACAACCCCCACCACCCACTCAAAACTCCCATCTCCTCACTACTTCAGTTTGAAACATAGGTATCTCTGAGGATCATTTGTACTAAACTTTTGTTTTAATCATACACATTTCTCCTTAACTCCTTCCTGCCTGGCTTCTACTTCCCTACCAACAGCACGCTTTAATAATCATTGATTCTAACTTGTGCTGTCACTTATCGAGAGTTTGAACAATTCACTGGACTGTAGTCAACTTAAAAGGAGACACACCCTTTAAAAAAAAAAAAAAACCCTGACTCTTCCATCCCCAGAAGCTATCAACTGTCTCTAGCTCCCCAGTTAGGGGTGGGACTCATGAGCTGTCCCCAGTCTATTTTAGATGGTCGAGGTCTTGATCTTGTGTAGGTGCCACACAAGCTTGGGCAAGCACTGCTGCTGTGAGTTCATGTGCACAGGGGTCCTGTCGTGTTCAAAGAGCACTTACACTTGGGTCTGCTCCGACCACTGGCTCTTAATCTTTCTAGCAGCTCTTCCAGGATGGTCCCTGAGCCTTGGGATGGTGGGGTGGTGATGTAGATGTCCCATTTGTGACCAAGCTCTTCTCAGGCACAAAGAAAATTTTCTGGTGAGGCCTGAGAGCTGTGTTAACCTGTGAGTACAGAGGGAGAGGAATGTAGAGGGCAGTTTGATAGTACACCTGTTTAGCCATATCATAGTTTTTGGTCAGATCTGCAGTAACCAGATTGGTTCCACTCATGCCAACACTGTACCCCTGGGCATGTTCTGCCATGCTGGGTACTATTCAAGTTCACAGGGTTCACAGCTAGGTAAAACTGCTGATGATTCCTGCCTTTGAGAAGCCCGAATGGCATGTTTCTAGTGCATTGAGAGTTAGCATGGTCAGTGCCAACTTGATTTCCACATATTCTGTGACCAGTATTGCTGAGGATAATATTTAAAATGGCATGGCCCAATCTGGCTTGTTCTTATGGGGCCACCATGTTCTTGACTAGACAAGGCCTGAGGTCAAGAGCGGTGGCATGCTCTAGCCGCTGCACGGCTCAGACCAACCAGAAGCACCAGCCCTGGCACCCAGGAGATGCCATCGTAGTGGCTAGATCAGCCAATCCACCACACTGTCTCCACAAAGCTTGGCTGAACCCCAGACAGTACCTGCCATCCACGCGGTACCCGGTAGAAATGAAACTCTAAAGCTTAATCATTATCCAAAGGCTTTATATAATTAGAAATGCTCAAGTAACAAGATGCTCACACAATTGGAGTTGTTACCCAATACCTAACCTTAGATAAAATTTGTTATCCAGGACTGTTCTTGATGCATCCATAGTTCTTCATGGCTGCTATATCTCTCCTCTTCCTAGTGAAAGATCCCCGAGGAGGCCCCCACTCAAGCCATGGGAGATCATGGCCACCCAGTGACTCACGAGACACTGATCTTATTGCAATCGCCAGAGGTTAGGTTTATTTGGGGTAATCAACGCATTGAGGTTGAGACTCATAACTCACACAGGGGCAGAGGAGCTTCGACCCCTAGCTTGGGGAGTGTAGGATATTTAAAGGAAAAAAACCACAAACCAGGGGGGAGCGCTGGGCAGTACCAGTGCAAAGTCTCAGCCTATTATTCAGTGTGTGACAGGGCTCAAGAAACAATCATGGGAAAGTACAGGCCTTTTCTCAAGACTCAATCCTATTCAACCATATCAACCACCTTGTGGTCAGCCACGTGCCTGGAACACAAAGCCCCAGATCTAGCTGACCCGCTCTCCTGGCTCTATTTTACTGCTAGTTTGCCAGAAGTAAAAATTCTACTAACCATTCACTCCTCTTCTTTCTCTTCTTCCTCTCCTTAATCCTCCCATATCAGCTCCTCCCAAATTACCGAGTTTATTGTAAAATGTAGCAGGGGTGGGGGGAATATCCCACTACATAGTATGTGTAGTGTATTCAGCAGAGTTTTACTGCAGGAGCAGGTGTCATCTGTATTGTGCAGGTGTCTCCAGGAAAACTCTGACCATCAACTTGAGTAGAGGTGTCCCAAACTTGGTATTAGGCTTTTTATTGACAACCTTTGGCTTCTCAGATGAGCACAATTCACTGTGTAGAGAAATTCCAATGAAAATTGTTTACTATGAATCCCCATTCTTCTCCTTCCTCCTCCTTTCCTCCTTCCTTTTCTCCTCCTCCTCCCCCCCTCCTCCTCCTCTTCCTCTTCTTCCTCCTCCTCCTCTTTAGTATTTTTTGAGACAGGATTTTGCTGTATCTCTCTGGCTGTCCTTAAACTCGCTCTGTAGAGCAGGCTGGCCTCAAACTCAGAGACATTCCCCTGCCTCTTCCTCCTGAGGGCTGGGATTCAAGCTGTGCATCACCACTGATCTGTGAGTCCTCACTTTTCTAATCTCTCATTTGATGCTTTTTAAAGTAAACTGGAGGCTTCAAGATGTGCCCACTGAGCAGCCTGTGAACAGGAAGACTAAGAGTAACAACCCCTACCCCCATAGCTCTTCCAGTCTTTCAGGGTTACCCACTAGCTTAGGCAGCATGAATATAACATGTCTGTTGGATTTAAAGATGGGACCTCATTTGTTCTGTTCATCCAATGCTGAAGACTGAACCTAGGCCCTGGCTATGCCAGACAAGCACTCAAAATGATACAATTTAAGTTTGCAAAGCAGTTCTTTAAACTTGGCACTGGTGAGCAGCTTGCTTTCCCAAGTAGGAAAACCAAATCAGCACCGGGATGGGATACTGGATTGCCCAGGATGCAAGTTACTAGGAACTGCTGAGGGCTCTTAAATGTCACTGGCCATGCTCAACAATTTGCTACACTGTTTCCAAAAGGAGCTGAAAATAGTAATAGCCATAGAGACGGACATTTTCGACAAGAATCCACTTAACCGTCAGCAGAAGTGAGTTTAAATGTGCAGAATGAGATCTCACCTGGAGTGGAATCTACCTTTCAGGCTCCTACTGAATTTGAGT